AGAATTATGAAAAGGCGGCACCTATTTAGGTTTTCTGATTCAAAACTGATTCGAGGAGGTTTAGCATGTTAGTCGTATCTCTATGGCAACTTGTACTTCTCGATTGCATGTGTTTTCTTATGCTATTGAGTATTTTATAACTACTTTGGTTGTTTTTTCTAAACTTCTGTCCTCGCATATCTCAGTCTGCATCACTTATAGGGGACTTTAACAACTGGAATCCTAATGCTGATATCATGACTCGGGTATGGCATATTGACTAATTTGATTAAATTTCTTTTAAATTGTAAAATTCATATAAAATATAGTGAATTCGGATCGATGATTATCTCATCGAATCTTTTACAGAATGAATTTGGTGTTTGGGAGATCTTTTTGCCCAACAACACTGATGGTTCGCCTGCAATTCCCCATGGCTCACGTGTAAAGGTAACTAACAACTCGCTTCATTTATTCATTTTCTGTCTTCATCAACTGTTGCATGTTTTTTTCTTTTAAAAAGGATGGTCTCACTTTTAGTAGGGATGTTTTTGTGTTGCGTATTTTTAAAAATATCCAACATCAGATATAGAAAAGGGTGAACGCTTTGGTTATTCTGATCAGTATGGAATGCATTGAGAGTGCATTGACATTGCCTTACTAAATATGTTCTGCTTGTCATGTGTATATGAATAAAATCACAACTAGTCGATACATATTGGTCTGGAAGTTTCTGAGAAGATTATGTAATGACGATGAAGTGATTTCTGATATACAAAACTCCAGATTCGTATGGATACACCATCTGGCATTAAAGACTCAATTCCTGCTTGGATCAAGTTCTCGGTGCAAGCTCCAGGTGAAATCCCATTCAATGGAATATACTATGATCCTCCACAAGAGGTAAGATTCTGTAGTCCTTTGAATAATTATCTTGTGGAAAGCGATAGAGCCAGTACTAGCCTGAAGTTATTGGAAATTCAGATATATAGATAAGTTGGTACTGTCAGGCAAAACTCAGGTTGCTTTCTTAAATGATTCCAAACACAGATGGTTGTTTATTTAACCAACAAATTCAGTTCTATTCCTCTTTATGATATGAACGAGCATCTGCTACAACCAATTTAATGTATGCTTACAATTTGTCGTTGGTGTTCCTATTCACTTCAGCAGATGATTTTGGTGGTGTTCTTATAAACATCAACAGATAATTTTGTTGCCTCGTAACGACTCTAAATTATCTGATTCAGGAGAAGTATGTATTCAAACATCCTCAACCAAAGAGACCCAAGTCATTGAGGATTTATGAGGCACATGTTGGCATGAGTAGCACGGTGTGTGTCTCCCTCTTCTCTTAAATAATTATGTTTTGGTCCTAAACAGCTGTGTACCAAATTTCATTATAAAGTATCAATAAGATCTATTTGTTCAGTATGGCTATTGACTATTACGACGTTGATTAAGAATTACACAAAAGTAGGATATTTTTCACAGCGATGATGGTTTTTGAACAACTCCAATTTCTGGAATTTTGTTCTATATCATGTGAGTGATGAGTATACTTGTAATACAGGAACCAATGATCAATACTTATGCTAACTTCAGAGATGATGTGCTTCCACGCATCAAACGCCTTGGCTATAATGCTGTTCAAATCATGGCTATACAAGAACATTCATATTATGCCAGTTTTGGGTATTCTTCTTACCTTCTTGAGCTCTAGTAGAATCCTAGATATTTGCTGGCAATTAAATTATAGCTGCAAAAACTTACGTCTTTTGTGCCATAATGCTATTTCACAGGCAGCTAGTAGTATAGCTGTATAGTGATCTCAATTCTTTTTTTCTTTCTTTTCTTACTGATTAAAGTTGCTGTTTCTATTATGAATTCAGGTACCATGTCACAAACTTTTTTGCCCCTAGCAGCCGTTGTGGGACCCCAGAGGAACTAAAATCACTGATAGATAGAGCTCATGAGTTCGGCCTGCTCGTTCTGATGGATATCGTTCATAGGTAGTAAAAGTTTTCATGAAAGCAAACCATCAGATCGGTCATAGTGAGCATCAGCTATTTACAAGTTATTTAATATTGTGACTATAAACTCGGCAGCCATGCTTCCAAAAATACGTTGGATGGACTGAACATGTTTGATGGAACTGATGCTCACTACTTCCACTCTGGTCCTCGGGGTTACCATTGGATGTGGGACTCACGTCTTTTCAATTATGGGAGCTGGGAGGTATGTAACTTCTTCCCGGATTTTAATCAAAATTTTATGAACATACATCCTTGAGCACTTTTTGTCAACATTCACTTTTCTAAACAGGTACTTCGATATCTTCTTTCAAATGCACGGTGGTGGCTAGAAGAATACAAATTTGATGGATTTCGATTTGATGGCGTTACCTCAATGATGTATACTCATCATGGACTCTCGGTACTTGAACCTTTTCGACAATGGATGGCTAACCTCTGTAGAAACTATTTGCGTTTTTTTCATGTTCCTATCCAGCATTTTACGCTTGCCTGACATTGGTTTCTTGGCCTTCTATTTTCATGGGTTTGGATAGGTTGGATTTACTGGAAATTACACTGAGTACTTTGGATTGGAAACTGATGTGGATGCTGTGACTTATCTGATGCTGGTAAATGATATGATTCATGGGCTCTACCCTGAAGCGGTTACTGTTGGTGAAGATGTAAGTTTTTTTTAATGCCTCACCGATCTGATATAATTTTTGAAAAAGTGTCGTAACCCTTGATAATTCCTAACAAGACAAGTAAAAAATTTGCTCATATCTTTTCGAGTTCTCATATGACTTTCACCGCAAAAAAGGAAAACAAAACTGGCCATGCTAATATATACTCTGTTAAATTCTTACGCTCTTAGTGAGACCTCTGAGAAAAAACAAAAAGAAAACAAAAAAAAAGAAGTAACAGACGAAAGATCTTTCTGCAAAATAAAATGGGCTCTACAGAGACATAATGTATACGTATGATAGCTAAATCAATGTCAACTAAAAAGTAAAAAGTCAAAGTTGGTAAATATTCTCGGTTATGAGCTATTTTGTGTTCTATGCTTACAAGATCGTTTCGATTCAGGTTAGTGGTATGCCAACATTTTGCATTCCTGTCCAAGATGGTGGCGTTGGATTTGACTACCGTTTACACATGGCCATAGCTGATAAGTGGATAGAAATTCTCAAGTGAGCTTCTTCTGCCTTTTTTCTACATTTGCAGCTGCTTTAATCGATCTTTGGTGAAATGAGTCCGTCTTACTCTCCTCCTTGTGAAGAAAGCGAGATGAGGACTGGAAAATGGGCGACATCACTTACACGCTCACAAACAGAAGGTGGTCAGAGAAGTGTATTGCCTATGCTGAAAGTCACGACCAAGCTCTTGTTGGTGATAAAACAATTGCCTTCTGGTTAATGGACAAGGTATAGACGCCATTATAGTTGTCTATATCCATTTAACTAACCCTTTACAAGTGAAGTGAATGGTGTTTGTTTGTTTCCAGGATATGTATGATTTCATGGCGTTAGACAGACCATCAACTCCTCTAATTGATAGAGGAATAGCTTTGCATAAAATGATTAGGCTTATAACTATGGGATTAGGCGGTGAAGGGTACTTAAATTTTATGGGGAACGAATTCGGACATCCAGGTACACTATTAAAGCTTATGCTCACTTACCTACACTATACGGAAAGGGTTTCGAGACTACATTTCTTCATCTTATCCTGCAATTTTCAGAATGGATTGATTTTCCCAGAGGCGAGCAGCGTCTTTCTGATGGTAGCGTGATTCCTGGGAACAATTTCAGTTATGACAAATGCCGGCGCAGATTTGATCTTGTAAGTTCTTGTAATTTGGTTTAAGCACGACATAGATATCTCAAGCTATATATGCTTTTGCTGTGTTCTGATTCAGAATATTCATGTATAGGGAGATGCGGATTATCTCAGGTACCACGGACTGCAAGAATTTGATCAGGCAATGCAACATCTTGAAGAGCAATACGGTGTAAGTCTCCATCTTGTTAAAACCTTTGTCGAAAATGCATTAGCTTAATTCTGAGTTTACATTTAAAGCAGTTTATGACTTCGGAGCATCAATTCATATCACGAAAAGACGAAGGGGATAGAGTAATCGTATTCGAAAGAGGTGATCTGGTCTTCGTCTTCAACTTCCACTGGACCAGCAGCTACTTCGATTACCGCATTGGTTGCTCCAAGCCCGGGAAATACAAGGTATACATATCTAACTCTAGTTTGATGGTGAAAATAGAATCTGATCTCTTTTCTACGATTTTTCACATTCCAGATTGCATTGGACTCGGACGATCCTCTGTTTGGTGGATTCAGTAGGCTCGATCGCAAGGCAGAGTATTTCACATTTGTAAGAGAAAGTCGAAACCATTTATATTTAAAGCTTACATTTATTGCGGTTTTTCCAATCTCTTATACCAAATCATGCCAATGCAGGATGGCTCATACGACGGACGGCCTTGCTCGTTCATGGTCTATGCACCATGTAGAACCGCCGTGGTTTATGCTTTAGCAAACCACGAGAATTTGGGCTCAGAATCGTAAATAAGAGAAGAGAAAGTATGAGAAAAAAAGTGTTTTTCCTTCAATAGATTGAGATGATTATGTGAAACGCTGAACAAGGCCACCGAGAATGTAAAGTCTGGAAACGAAAAATATCTAAAACACTTAACCGGAAATGTAGCGCTTGAAATAAACGATTACCGTTCTTAAATGATCGAATCAAGTTCTTTTTTCTTTTTATAACCACAAGATCTAATATCAGTTGAATAGATGCTAATAGAAACTTAACTGAAGGAGTTGTAATTTTAAAAAAAATTGCAAGAAGTTATTTATTAAAAAAACAAAAAAAAGAAGAGACTGGTTTAATTTGATTTGGTTTGGTTTCGATGAATAGTTCCGGTTAAGAAAAAGCTGTTCCGGGTCACAAGTCACACCTTTTTGTTTACATTATAGGCTTAAGAATCCAACGGTCATCGTAAACCGCATCAGATAAACGGCGAAATCAAAAAGCAGATTCTCTGGAAGAAGAAAGATGCAGCCGACAGAGGCGTCGCAGCCGGCGACGGTGGATCAGAGCCGTCGTCTTAGGGATGAGTTATCGGAGAGTATGAGCTTCAGCAGCCAAATGAAGAAGGAAGATGAGGAGTTGTCGGTGAAAGCGTTGTCAGCGTTCAAGGCCAAAGAAGATGAGATCGAGAAAAAGAAGATGGAGATCAGAGAACGAGTTCTAGCTCAGCTCGGTCGTGTTGAAGGAGAGACCAAGCGTCTCGCTTTGATCCGCGAGGTTTGATCTACAATCCATTATTTCAGCTGGATTTTTTTTTTTTATAGTGATTTTTGATGTCGATTTTCCGCTTTTTTAGTGTAAAATAGATCAACTTCTCTTGGTTTAGAAAGTCTAAAGGGGAGAATAATTCAAACTCTTTTTCGGATTTAGTAGTTTAGTGTTCTTAAATTAGAAGCTGGATAGACGACAAAAAAAAAAAAATTAGAAGCTGGATTTTTAGTCTGGTTTTAGGTTTTTTCAGTATCTAGGTTACAGAATTGTGGAGATTTTTCGTACTCGTTTAAGAACATTGAATTGAAATCCACTTTCTAAAGATGCTCTGGCTCAAGCGTAAACCCTAATTTGGAAGGGATGATGTCTGTTTGGTGACTTTGAAGCTTAATGGTTAAATGCATCAGGAACTTGAAGGTTTTGCTGATCCCATGAGGAAGGAAGTCACTTTAGTCCGGAAAAAGATTGATTCTCTCGATAAAGAAATAAAGCCATTGGGGCATACAGTTCAGAAAAAGGTTTGGGTTTTTCTGTTGAGAATCAAAATGCTTTTTCTCGGGGATGCTAAGCTGCTGTTTTCATAAAGTGCAGGAAACTGAGTACAAGGACGCGCTTGAAGCATTCAATGAAAAGAACAAGGAGAAGGTGGAGCTGATCACCAAACTACAGGAGGTTAGTTCATTATGATCTCACTTCTCTCTACTTTTTCCAAGTAAAACCAATCAAGGGTCGGGTTTGAATGAACGTTATAGCTGGTCTGATTATACCACATGTATCTTGATGGTGTGCGTTTGGTCCTAGAAATTGGTGTTTAGTCCATATAACTAATCTGTTTTTAGCTGTTTTTGAGGATACGAATTTCCCATTACCTTCTTTTAGAACCTTAAACATATGGGTAAAGACATTAGTCCCGTAGAATTGTTCCAAGACTTAAGAAAGACTCCTATTACAATAGGGAAAGTCGTGATCTTACTGACTGTGGAATCCAGTCTCCAAGTTTGGCAATTTTAAAGTTGAACTCTTGACTCTAAAATGGGTTTCAAGTTTTGATCAGTGAGATCAATATAGACTATAGAGACTCAATATCACGACCCCCATGTTTGGGTGATTTGCATTGTTTTTGCAATTAGTTTCTTCAAACTAGATGCAACTCATGATTTTGCTTTTTTTGTTCAAGTTAGATATCCAGAAGAACAATCATGCTTTTCTTCCATTGAAACAGTTGTACAGTTGCATAAATCTAAAGCGTTACTTATGGCACTTTGATTGTGTTCTTTTGTGACGGTTCTGAGACAGCGAGACTTAATGGGTTAGTTTGACTTTTTGAATGAATGTGCGCAGTTGGAGGGAGAAAGCGAGAAAATGAGATTCAAGAAGCTGGAAGAGCTAAGCAAGAACATTGATCAAACCAAAGCTTAGTGTTGGACGAGCATAGTCACTGGGATTGGGCTATTTAAAGTTATCAAATATAAGTGGTAAAATCACGGTTAGAGTATTTCCTTTGTTCTTCTGTCATTCTAGTCATATATATATATAAAATAAAATAAAAAGTAACAATGGTTTTGAACTAAATGTTGCAAAGAAAATGTGATCCAATTTACAATGTCAAGACATTATCGATGTGATTCGCAAATTTGTAATAATAAATGTAAAGATCTATGTTTGTTCTTAGGCACTTTGGTGCATGGCTATATCACCATTTTGAAATCTCTTTACAAATATGTTTAAGACCACACTGAAAATTTTGACTCGAGAATTTGAGCTATGAATGTGAAATCAGACTGATGAGGTTTAAAGGATCAAGTTACTAGAGGACAGAGACACATACTAGGATCACGTTAAGAAAGTAATGCATTTGAAATAAGGGTTAAAGACCATAATCAGCCAGAACCAATTGAAACCAAGAAGGAAAAAAAACTATATAGAACTAACACATGTATATTGTTGGATATGACACGGCGTCTATACATGAAAAATGTTAAATATCTAATGGAACGTAAAGAATATTTATACGATGGTATTAGGTTCGGAAATGAATAAAAATAGGTCCACGAGCAGGATGTTACTTCTTTTTGCCAAAATTGGAATGTTACTTGTACATCAGCGTAATCGCTTTAATGAAGTCGGTGACGCAGAGAAAAAAGTGAATGGGTGTTTCAGTTGAGATGTTGAAGGCACGCATCATAAGACCTCGCAAGCCCACAGCTATAAATGCGACGATTGTCGTTGTTTATCAAATTCACGAATTTTTAATTATCGGAACTAACTTCTAAATATCACACTTAATAATTTGTATTGTTATTATCTAATATTGGTTTGTAAATGCTTCAATTTTAATGAGAAAATATGATACTCCATTAGTTTTACGTTTTGATTTTCTACCACCGAACCAAAAAAAAAAAGCTGGAACTAAATATATTGTATTTTATGTAATAGAAATAAAGTTTCCAAACTTCAAACAAAATTGTTTCATATTTTCCTTCCAATTTGTGTTCAACATTAATCTGCAGACGAACACTTGAGACCTCAACTACCAAAAATGTCCGATAGAGCCGAAATTTGAAATTGTGTGTCTTTTTGTAAATTAGACCAAAATTTATTAAAAATCAAATATAGAGGATCCAAAGGAATATGGAATAATCAAACATTTGGTTCGGTGATACATAATATCATCAATGATGTTTCCTTGTATGAGCATCTCTCAATTATTATATTCAATGTTCGTGAATTTACAATAGCTAATCATAATTACCACATTTACTATATACGTTCCAATTTTTAAACCTATCGATATGGAGGTATCCGTGTCTCTCTTTATATTATGTGCATATATAGACATATATAGACTAGGCCTAATATAGACACATGTTTAATGCATTTTGGTTGCTTTATCAGAATACGTATAACTATTCTCTATTAATTGTTTGTAAAAACCTTATGTGATGCTCGATATCAGTGTTCAAAAAATCGGTCTACTCGGCGACTAGGTAGCTGTCTAGGCGGCTAGTCGGGATTAGCCGATCCAATTTTCATAAAATCAGTGAAGCAAATTCGGTTTAGTAAAAAATCGGACCAAGGCGGAGAAAATCAGAAAAATCAGAAAAATCAGACCAAATCGGCAAAATCGGCCAAATCATACTAATTATTTTTATCCTTCTTTCAGTCAAATTTTACGGTTTTGGATAGTAAACCAATATCGATTTACCGAAAAAAGTGAAAAAAACAAGATTTGAAACGTGGATTAGGGTTAATAACTTAATATAATCATCTTCGTTCCTCCCTGCTACTTCACTTTCATAAACTACAAGAGGCGATCATTATTCTTTATTGCTGAACTTTACAAGTTTGTTTAATTTTCTCTTTATCTATCTGTACATATTATATAACTATATTGTATTCTCTTAATTTGTCTTTTTTATCTTTGTTTACTTTGTTTGTGCTCTGTTTTAAGTTTCAACTTTCAATTTTAACGATGAGCCTAGAGGAGATATTGATTCCGACGATGAAAATGATATAGCTATTGATTTTGAATTTGAGTCTGAAAATGAGCAGGTGGTAGATATATATGGATGTGTTTGAAGAATAAGTTAGATATATTTCTCTTTGCTTTATATTTTTAAAGTTTTTAGATTAAAACTTGTTTTAGTTTGAAGAATTTGATGATTTTTAGTTTGATTTCTTTGTTGAACTTTATTCTATAATTTTATTTATTAAATTTTCTTATTTTTTTATTCAAACATAAATTTTGATAAAATAATTTTTAAGAAAATAATTAAAGCTTTTTAAAAAATATGATATATAGACAGAAAATTTATAAAAATTAACAAAAATTTTGCTAACGCCTAGGCTCCGCTGATCTGCTCAAAGTTTAATCCCTAAGCTATTCTGCAAGAGCACAGATGTGCAGTTGTAGTATGTAGGGGTCGAACCACAGAGACAAGAGATCACTCAATAAACCTTATAGAGATTGAATTACGCTAAGCAGAAATATTGTAAATGAATAGCAATGCAACAGAATTAGACTAAGCAGCAATAAAAACGGTTTGTAAGATTCAGATGGATGGAGATTAGGCTTAGGGCGTTTCTCAGGAAATCAATGCATGCAGATCAATCGATTAGTCAGGGTTCAGGTTTAAGCACAGTTCTTGAACTCGATCACAGAATTATAATTAATCAACTTCCGTTGTGAGAATTATCTAAGTCAAAATCCTAGAATTCCAAATTCCTTTGCAAACCCTAAAGATTTAAACCAGCTTTAATGCTCAAGTTCGATATGTTCACAAAGTATCTAAACCAAATTCCTTTGCGAATAGCTACTTTGCTCACCCTAGGTTCTTTCCAGTTATTCAATTACACTTCCGTGTCAATTAAGCAACCTAAGATCTAAGTTCTAGGTGGCCAATCCAGAATTAGCTTTAAGAACAACCTATGGTGAAGAACAAATAGATATGAACCCTAACTAACCAATCAATCTAACATCCAATGAAATCCTTTATGAGAACCCTAAACCTAACAAGCAAACTACTCAGACATGGAGATTGAAGCAATAAGCATGATTGCATAGCTTGCAGTAAGCAGTAAATAGATTAATAAACAGGGGTTCGAAATCTTCTCTCTCCGGAACAGAGTTTCAGACTTATCTCCCCAAAAACTCTCAAAAACAAAAACTCTCTCTAAGAAAATCTAAGGTAATCGTAAAAAGGGAATAAAAACCCTATATATATCTCTAAGACACGTTTTGGGCTTCCTTGAAAACATTTGGGCCCAACTCCTTCTTCAAATAGGAAACAAAATCACGTTTTCCTTCTTTCTGCAACAAGTGTCGCGCGTCACTCTCCATGGTGTCGAGCGTCACTAAAGCACAAAATCCATACTTGACAAATTTGATCCTAATTAAGCTCTAAAGTGCTCCAAAGTCTCCAGTTAAGCTCCAAACGTACCTATGACCTGAAAAGACTCCAAAAGACTCGAACGACACTAAAAAGACTCTATAAATAAGACTTATACCATGGTTAAAAACCAGAAAAACCATGATATATCAACTCCCCCAGACTTAGCATTTGCTTGCCCTCAAGCAAACATAACACCAAACAAGAGAAAGAAGTTTGAAAACACAGAGACTCAACCTTTCATTGGAACATCGCTTTTGACTGATCACCCTGCAACTCAACTACTGCTTCATCATTCCAAATCAAACCACCATGTACTTCTCCGTAGACATTCACAGCTTTCCAGATTAAGTCCAAAATTCCACAACATGGTCCATAAACCTTCATTGCTGGATCTCACTGATCATTCCGATACCTAGAACCTTCTAGATTCTTTCCCATTCTGTACTTAAACAAATCAGCCATACAAACTTTGGTACTTTTCTCTCCCCCAGACTTGTTCTTTTCGCACATTCATCATCTCTTTTCTTCTTCAAACGTTTTTTTTTAGGCGCATACTCGATAAAGGTAAAGCTGCGAGTACTGATGGTGTTTGCCACCAAGTCCCCGAGTTGTCCCCTTACCTTGTATCAAAGGTTTTCAGCGAATAGTGGGGTCATGGGAAACATTCCTACCCCTCACTTCCTTCCTTTGTGTGATCATTCCAACTTAGAAGTGAAATAATGGGATCATTGGAAACATTCCTAGCCCTTCACTCCTAAGCGAAAATCATCTCAATCTTTTTGCCCTTTTTCTTTCTTTCTTAGCTCGTCACAAGGGGGAGAAATACCAACATTAAATTTCACACAGGCATTCATTGATCAAGTACGAACGAGGAATCAAGCTCTAAGACATTAGTCACATCAGCGAGTTAAAAGTGAAGTTCAGAACTTAGCTCAGGTTAGTAGATTCTGTTGGAAACATGGACGCCTCTAGTCAGCTGGTCAGCCTTTGGATTTTCATTAGTCGGATCTAGACTGAATCTGCGGCAGTGGTCACTTAGGTGAAAGGTCAGCACAATAATTCCAAGAAAAGCATCATGATCTCCAACAGGTTTTGACTCAAAAACGTTTTGACACAGCTGACTCTTAAGAAAAACAAATACAATGTCAGCAACTACCTCCCCCGGACTTGAATAACACTGTCCCCAGTGTTATCTAGTCCGAAGGTGGCGAAACAAAATAAAAGAAACAGAGAAACGCAGGAAAAACAGAGAACTTACCTGGCTGCAATGATGGTGTCGCGCGACACTGATGATGGTGTCGTGCGACACTTGTTTTCCTCGTACCGAATTGCAGCAGACCAATCCGAATTTCTAGTTTGACTCCGGTTGCCTGATTTCCTAATTTTTTTTTTTTTTTTGAATAGAAGCAAGTGACAAGCGACACCGAAGGTGGTGTCGCTCGACACTAACATCTGCTTCACCTGAGACACGAAAAGAAAAACGAAAATCAACTGAAACAAAAAGACTTATGTACAGACTCACCAGTGGATTGCCTTCCATCAAGCGCTTGTTTAAAGTCATTAGCTTGACTATGGATAGACTATGCATCTAGTGGATCAGACAGTGGCAAAGAGTGCCTCTGTGAAATTCGTCTCATCCATGGTGGTGTGTAAGCGTTATGCGCATGAGGTCGTCCAAGGAATGCAGGAATAACACCAGGGTGAGATCTGTGTTTGGGTGGCCTTGACCTATTCCCTGCAATATCATCAAACGAAAAACCAAGTGCTCTACGATAATCTCGTAGCTTGCGTCGTGA